GTATTTGCATACCTTCAATTAAGTTTGTAGCTGATCATAAACGAAATTCTACATATTCAATAAAGTATGACCAAAGTATTATATTTGATTACTTATAATAACTGTGTACTCAGAATATTATTTTACTTTATATAAAGTTCGATTCTATCAATCTTTCTAAGGATTCTGTTTAGCTATAATCACATTTATAGGTCCACCTTCATTATCGTTTATCTCAGTTTCGCTGTCATTTATCACAGAATCAAATAACAGTCTTTCTCAGTCGCATCACTCGACTATCTATTTCTTTTTCCTTTCGTACTCTTTAGACAGTGCACTTTTTATCTTTTCGATTGAACGCATAAGCGGCGTAAATAGTCCTACTTGTTTGTCATCTACAACAGCTAAAGATTTTAACATAGAATTATAAATTGACTTAATAAATCTGTAGTTAGAATTTAACGTAAAGTTATTTTGAAATTTTGTCTTCTGTAATAATTCAAAGTCATACATAATTTTTTCAGGGTCAAGGTTACTAGACATCTCAATTCCTTCATGCTTTAATTTTTTAATAGCAGAAACAATATCATTAATATTTTCACTATTCATTATATATATATATATATATATATATATATATATATATATATATATATATATATATATATATAACATTTTTTTAAAAAAATATTTTTTTTAAAATGGACTTTAACTTAGTTGGATATATAACAAAGCGACATAACTCCTGCCGAAAATTTTTTATTCACAGAGTAGATTTCTTCCCTTCATGTATCGCGTCATTTATGTTAATGGAATCAGTACACAATTAATAAAATCCGGTTCAGTACCCACGAATGTAGTCCCAGTCTATATTTGGATCACCTTTTCCTGTCTAAGTTTGGTGGTGATACTATAGTCAGATTTTGGCATTCTTGGTAAAGATTTAAAGGCAATTGTTTATTCTTTAAAATGTGAGCTTATGGTGTGGTTGTCTATGTGTATTTCGGCGACAGTGCACATTGAGTAGTAAGGTCATGGTGATGATCCGGAAGTGAAATCTGTGTTCCGTTGCCTGGTGTTTTGTTTACAATTCAGCCTCTCAAAAAAATGCAGGTCAACCCTTGACAAGAACTAAACAGTAAAGTCATCTTTGAAGGTATTTTAGATTAACATATGATTTGTATTGATTGTCACACAGTGGAAAGTTCAGTACTGAGAAACAAATGTAGAGACAATATAGTCAAATCAATTGTGTTCTATGGCCTGTCAGTAAAAACTTGAAACTGAGGTAAAAATTTTATTATTAATGACATACACATGAAATTTTAATAGGTTATGTATATTGACTTTAAAAATAAAAAAAATTAAATTAAAAATAAAAAAATAATTTTAATTTTAAAATTTTATATGAAATTAAAAAAACTTTTAAAAAATAAAAATTTTCCACCAAGTATACACATATATAATATTTATTTGGAATGACATGAAAATATAACAGCATATATATATATATATATATATATATATATATATATATATATATATATATATATATATATATATATATATATATATATATATATATATATATATATATATATATATATATATATAATAATACACCATATACAAGCTCAAATGATGGATATTTGTCAAATTTGATCAGAGAAAATATCTTTATTAGTCAAAATGAGACCCTTATTTAAAATACATAAAGACAAAATTCTACTTTGCTTTATACCTTTAGGTCATTGAAACTATTTATTTGGGGTCCAAACAGTTAATTTATGTGTTTAAGATGGGGTGACTTCCTGAGTAACACCTATCTGCTTGTATAGCTATCAGTAATTGTTTATAAACATAGTGATAGGGTATTTAGTGAGAGGACAGAGATGAAGACTTTATACTAGAACCTGTTCAAGTTCTCTACAAAATCATATTAAGCTGTCAGAGAATGAAATACAGGTCAGAGGGGGTAAAATATACTTTACCCAGGTATATTTACCATTGCATGTAAGAAAACAGCAAATTAGAAATTCGCCAGGGGAATACATACATACATACATACATACATACATACATACATACATACATACATACATACATACATACATACATACATACATACATACATACATACATACATACATACATACATACATACATACATACATACATACATACATGTGTGTGCGTATGTGTGTGATCTTTTGGGGAGACATGCTTAGTGTGATTTAGGCTGAAGAGGCTGAAGTGCTCGATGAGGTACTCTTCCGTCTAGGCGTGCTGTTCTTGTGTCATATGGTCCGGCACAATTTATTTTTTTGGAGAGTAGCCGATGAAGGCTTATCTTCTTCATGCTTTACGCTTCCATTCTGTTACGATCTCTGTGAAAGGTGGTCATTGAGAGTCATAAGTCTTTGTTTTTTTGGAGGCCTCGAGGTACATGTGATGCTTAATTTCGGCACTGGGACTTACATATCTATATTATAACCTCGTGACTTCTGCCTAGTATAGAGCACATCTTGTAGATGAGGCCGTCCAGCTCGTAATAATAGGCTTTCTAGAGCACTCGTTGTTAAACTAGTGTGCGACATAAAGTCTTTCAGTGTTACGGAGTGGGTGTTCTTTGGACAGTCGCTCGTGTCATATAGTTGAGTATATTCAGTCATATCTCAATAGACATCTTCGGTCTCGATGTTCTGCAGCAAACCATCAGAACCGTTTACAACAGATGAGGCTTAATACCGATGCGCTGATGTATCCAACTGTAGAAGACGTCGTTAAATAGACTGCTCATAAGATCCAGCATTGCCTGAATTCGCAACTTCGATGTAAATCATACCTGGAATGTATACCAATACATTCTGAACATCTTCATATATTTCCGGTACGAGTCGAATAACTTTGACTCCATCAAGGAGACTCGTATCTTCCGGTAATCGTAGTGATAATTGGTAAGTTTTTATAAAACAGGTCTTGAAAATTACACTTGATGAAATTTTAGTAATCAATAAAATACCTGCACACTTCATTTTTGCTGACATTCCTGGCGCGTTGTAAGAAATCAATCCGTTTCAATTGTATCCATTGCTGTTAGTCACTAAATTTCATGTATTTAATGTGACGTTGTGAAGTTATGACATAATAATAACCACTGGAATGAGGGCAGTTAGTGATAATAATAATGAAGATTATGTATAGCGCTTATTCCTTAGAAGCTCTGAACGCTTTACAACAATAGACAAATGTACGTAATTATATGATTTCAAAAACACCTTGAAATTAGGAAACAGAAATATATAAGATAAGGAATCATTATTAGGTCTTTAAGTCTGTTCTTGCAGTCAAAATAGATGAGTTTTAGGAGCGCTCTTGAATGTGATCACTGTATCTTTGTGTCTAAGATCAGTGTGCAGTTAGTTCCACGCTTCTGGGCCCTGGTACGCAAAAGAACGTTGTCCATATGACTTCATTTTCATAGTGGGAATAATGAGAATATGATTGTCAGAAGAGGAGCGTAAGTATCTTGCTGGTGTGTACACATGGGTGAAGTAAAATAGGTATGTTGGTCTGGAGCCTGCCAAAGAAATGTAGCACAGAAAACAAATTTTGTGTTTGATTCTGGATCGAATGGATAGCCAGTGTAAAGTATAGAGGGGGGATTTACCTTGATCGTGGTACTCAAAGTATGGTCCGAGCAGCTGTGTTTTGAAGTTTTTGGATGATGATCTATGATACTTGAGAGCGGCTGAGTGTATAGAATAAAGAAAACTGGTCCAAGAACAGACACCACAACATATATCAATTGGGATTGAGTATATTCCATTTGCGGACACAATTTTTATCCTGTTCAATTCAATATGTTTTATTAATTACGTTCTAGTATGCCATGGGGAAGGCTGTAGATGTTCAAATTGTAGGCCGATATCAATCATTAGGTCCACATACGTTATTTACGAATCTTTGATTGACCATGAAGATATGAATGCATAGAACTATTCTTTTCAATGTCAACTTCTCGATCAATTCTGCGGTCAGTCTAATAGTAAATATAGCTGACGATATCCAGACAGGTTCATTTTTGTGAGGAAATTTTCAGCAAAACAAAATGTATTATTTTCCTGTAAATTACTGAAAACATATACTTATATGTTCTCTACACTATGTTATCTGGAGATTTACTACCCAAGTTCGGATATTTCCCTTACGCCGACCAACCTTGAAGACAAAGCTATATTTTAAGAGTAACAAAATACACTTGGCCCCATTACGTTGTTTATTTTCGTGAATTGATAAGGGCAATCTGGTAATGACTTTATTGTAATTTTACTAAGTAAAATTCTTAGCAAAAATTGTGTTAACATTCGTTTGTGCAGGATAGTATTAAATAGCCAGTGCTTTTCTGTAGGATTTTGGTTGTGAAACCTTCGTTTTTGATTGTGCGTAATTTTGCACGCCGTCAAGCTCTTTGGTTTCAGATTAATTAAAGTTTGGATGTAGTCCGCAATCTTGTAATGCTTCAGTAGAAGTGATCAGTTGGGACGAACACAAAAACTAATGAAGTTTGCATCTTATGCATATATTTGTCTCGTATACATAACTGAGGTAGTCTGAATGACAAAACAGCAGAAATGTCTACTTGTAATGTCTTAAGCACTTCCGGAAGAAAAAAAAACTATGGATGTACACACTGGTCATTTTGAAGTGTAATTGTGTCCGTTAATATTACGTCATAATTATGTTATTGACAAAATATTAGAAATATATTATATAAGCAGTAGCTTGAAGCTATCGGAAAACAACCTCTGTTTTAATGTTGCGAGAATTACGTTAAATATCCAGGTATTTCATGGATTGTTGAAACGTTGTCAAACACTATATTTAGTGCATATTGTGCGGATCATTTCTTATTAGATCTAACCGGATATCAAAGCACCAAAAGTTACCAATTTGCGCAATATAACTGATGCACATCAGCGCCTCTTTTTTCTACTGTCACACGTCTGGTGTTCTTGACCACTCCGGTGGCCTAGTGGTTAGAGCGTCCGCCTCGGATGCGGGAGGTCGCGAGTTCGAACTCTGGTCGAGTTATATCAAAGACTTATAAAAATTGTACTTGTAGCTGCCTCGCTTAGCACTCAGCATTAAGAGACTAGTGTTAGGACTGGTCGGCCTGGTTTCAGGATAATTAATGTTACTGGGTGGGACACGATGCTACATGTCTGCGGCATGATGCCCAGTGTTGGACATCACTATAACCCGTCACACTGCAAACATATAAGCAATATGACTGAAAAATTGTTAAAGCAACATTAAAATTCCAACACACACACACACACACACACACACACACACACACACACACACACACACACACGAGTATTCTTTAGACTGCAAAGAACTATCAACCATCTTTAGTGAGGGGAAACAAAAAACTAAAACAAATAAAACAAAGTAATTGCCGTACATTTTCTCCTTCATGTACCGCATTGAAGTGAAACTACCGATCAAGCACTACTGCTCAGGGGCTAGTTTACAAATATTGCTGTTATGGGAGTGATGTCACTGTTGTGCGAATGACGTCACATAAAAAATAATGGGGAGATACAGATTTACTAGCTACCGGCCTTTGATTTTTGCTTGCTAATTTTGACTGGGTACCATCATTTCAGCAAAGCATCATCAGTAGAATTAGTCTTCTCGCATCGGAATGAATCGACTAAGGTAATGTCATTACTAATTTATACATCACTTTATGTCCGACATTCAAATAAAACCTGAGATCCTAGATCCAGTGCGGAGAAAGTCTCCAAAGGCAAACGTCGAACCTAAGTTCTTAATTCAATGTATATCTTCCTAGATCATATATAAGGTAAGTTCTAAATTTCCGATTTGTTCCATTAAATAAGCACCATAGTTTTACTTTCTCACTATCGCTGTTTCTTCTTAACAAAGCAAATCACCGATTGGTGCGTGTTCTCAAATCGTAAATTTCATAACCATTACAAACGTTTTTAATTCAAGAACCAGCAGCAAGTTTGTTAATTTTAAATTTATAAACAAATTGAATCTCACGTAAAAGGTACCAGAGTCTATGATTTTCTACCTTTCCGTTCCGCAGAGGGTAAGTGACCTGACATTTTTGGGAGTGATGGGAGTGTTGTTTTTTAGTTTCGGATACACAGAAGCATACAGTTTAAAACTTATATAACTTAAAAGCTAAGTCATATCCTCATTTTCATTTTTAAACAGTTATTATTATTATTATTATTATTATTATTATTATTATTATTATTATTATTATTATTATTATTATTATTATTATTATTATTATTTTGCAGGACTGTGCATGCAGGTGAAAATCGGTGTTACATATTTGTATTGCAAACATAGTTGCAAATTTAAAACTACGCTTTGAGAAATGTATCAGGCTTAATTGTTAAAACAGATATAAAAAAATAAAGATTCTGCCTCAACTTACCTAACAGTTTATGGCCCCATCCAGATAACAAACAGTGGATCTGCTGATGTAAAATAACATTTTTAAGATTATTGTTTTTGCCACTATGTAACATAACAGCCTGCCAAAATAGTAGGGATCATTATAAGTACTTTTCTGTAACGGTCATCCCACCCTCCGTTGTATAACTGACTGAATCGATTTATATAGTTTCAAAGTAAACAAATGTTTGTGTTTAAACGTCGTCATATATATGTTATATCAAGTTTGGAAACCTATAAATTGACTGATACCATTTTATTTTTACACGTCTACTTGCTTTAATGCATAAGAGTCCGCAATATTGTGACTTACAATAAACATTGATATATACAGCAGTGACAACTTCTGCTTGTCGACTACCCACGATGTATTCTCACCCACCTTGGTGAATCAGGTTTGTAAAATATTATAATGTAGAAGTAGAGAGCATCAGTGTATTTTTCTGAAAATCTTATGTTTCTTTCATGAGCTAGAGAATAATATTTAATTTTACTGTAATTAAACTCCCATAAGTGTCGACCAATGATGTTATGCTATTTCAAAATCGACTGAAATTCTGGCATGATTAATAGTTTTGTGACAAAATCTGTATTTATGTGCCGTCTCCACTCATATATTTTCTCCTCAAAATGTAAACGTGAATTAAATCTTTGCTAAAGTTTATATAATTAAACCAAATGCGCAGTCGATAGAAAGCCAAGAAATAGTAACGTGAATTAATTACAACAAATTTCACTATGGTTAAGATTTCAGCCATAACTAAAATGTTTTGATGTAAAAATGTGCCAAATTTAGCACTGTCAGGTGAAATGTGTACATGCTGCTATCTTATTGACGCTGCTATTAACATTGATGTTGCCCCAACCTATTTCAGCATTTTAAATCATAAAAGATAGCGATTCTACTTGAGGCAGCCATTATTTAGTTTGAGGTTCTTGCGCAAGCGCTAAGAAAAAGTTAAAAAAACCTGCAGTGATTACACCAGAGAAGTACTGTAGCAGACAAAAAAAAATGTTTTTGTTTCAGCAATTTCTGATGTTTCCGCTGACACAAACGGCTAATATTCAAGTAGGAATTTCCAGTAAAGTTTTCACAAATTCTTCGCGAGTTTCGACCTTTTCTTGGGTTGTCAGTTTGTTTTGTATTCTTTTTTAAGGGGCTGCGCTTACTTCTGATTCGTTCTCACTCGTGCAATTTTTGCATTCATTCAATATGAACTTGAATGTGTCTTCCGATATTTTGTTGTCTATAATCGCTCTCAATACCTAATCTGCAGTAGTGCGCTCTCAATACCTAATCTGCAGTAGTGCTGAGTTAAAACTCATCATTTGACAAAGGTATACTGCTAACGAAGATTATGACGGCGACTACAATAAAAAAAGCGATCCAGCTTCCTAAGATGCCAGTACACATGCCTGCCAGTTCCTTGTCAATTTGGGGCATGCGGTTTGTCTTCAGAGTCAGTGATTCTTTTCAGCGAAAATACTGCAGATCTGCATGCAGTTTTCATACAATGACATTACAATTCCTGAGTGAGAAGCGTGCCAATATAGTTTAACTGGTCAGGATGGTGGTAGATGCTATTCAGGCGCGTACTTCTATCAGATCGCCATGGCGTACTGGCAAAGCGGCCCTGGTGTTAAAGAAAGGTCAGTTTCTTTGCTATTTTTAGATCTGGAAATGACAAAACGTCAGGCTTCAAAATATCCGCTAGCATTCTCACCTAAATTCACAACTATCTTGCCTTCAGTCCACAGTTTTAGAGATTGTTTTGTGTATCCAATTAAGTAATGTGATGCGGCAGAGTCTATGATTTATTTTGTTATTTGTTTTAACGAGGAAGACGTATGATGGAAGGCTCTAGATACCCAAAATGAAAGGTTATCGCTGAAGGTGTATCGTTAAAATCACTATACTGAATTTGTGGCAAGATGAAATCTAACGATTTAAAGATGTACCATATCAGGTTAGTACTTATAGTTTACATTTTTGCTGAAGAGAAAACATAATTAAATCAAGCTGGCTGTTGGTTGGTTTAGGGTGTTGTGGGTGGCCTAAATGCTTAATGTGTTAATTTCTTTTCCTTATTCTAGTTCCACCTTAATCTGAACTAACATGTTTCAATTCCAAGTGACGCAGGCACTTTTCTGTCAGTGATTTGTTTTCCTTATTAGTGTAAGCCTGTTTAATAAGTTTTTGGAGCTCATGCTCCATCGTCAGGCTTTTAAGGTGCCAAGATTTATTTGCCCGTTGTCTCGTAACTTCCAATTACTCGCCAAATTCATGATGGAAAGCAGGCCAAAGATGGTCTGAATGGCTGAAAATTTCGTTCGCTGTGCATTGATTCACCTAATGGCGTCTCCAGTGGCAAGCGAGTTGTAAGGCTTGCGTGTGAGAAGTTAACCGGAGCAGCAGTACTGTCATTTTGTGCCATTTACACGGATCCCATACTAAGCCCAGGTTCCATCACTACGAGTCTCTTGAAGGTTTTCATAGTAGGAACTATTGTCAGAAATGGCGATTGTCTCATTGTCGTAGGTGAATATAAAACTATTAAAGGGTTGAAAGTCTTGCTTTGAATCTCCACAATAAAAACCTGACTCATTTTTTGTTGTTACAGTAACCTCACTAACTGATGTGATTTTGCTAGCTGTCAAGTACACAACTTCCTCCTACTGAAAGGAAGGACGAATTCTTCTTTTAGTCTCACGGGCGATGATCCTCAAGCTCACCCCCATCCCATTTACTTGGCAGAATCGGTCTTTGTTACGTTTGCGGAATATTAGGATTTTCTTCGAAGAAGAGAAACGTATTCTCTTCGGACCACCTCGGCAATTTCTACGATTGGATTGACTGTAGGATTAACTGAGAAGTAACGTACGAATGCTTTGGAAACTTCCCTGTAAACTTTTGTTTCGTGAAATATTTGAGAGTAGGGGGTCCAAACACCAGCTATTTTCAGCTATTAGTATACATTTGAGACATGATCCAAAGGATTAACTTCAATGATGCGAAAGGTACGCCAACATTAAAAAACGTACGAATGCTTTGGAAACTTCCCTGTAAACTTTTGTTTCGTAAAATATTTGAGAGTAGGGGGTCCAAACACCAGCTATTTTCAGCTATTAGTATACATTTGAGACATGATCCAAAGGATTAACTTCAATGATGCGAAAGATACGCCAACATTTTTCCTGGTGATCGCCCGCGTAAAGTCTCGTGATGTCTTTACTAAATGGAAGTGATGGCTTGAGTAGACTCGCATCGCCAAAGAACAAGACTCGTTATGTCATAACTTAATACTCGTCTTTATTTTCGTGCTGTCCAGTGACTGACATGTATTTGTCAATCATGCTAGAGACTGAAATCTTCCAAATACCACAGTGACGCTGTGTTGTATTTGCGAGTACCTTGCCGTCAGTTTATTGCCAATAGTAACATAAACTTAATCGCAGATGCCTCTATGCTTTAAAAGTCAAGGAAATGACAAATTGGTATAAATTTGATTTGGTAGCATGTTTCCAATGCGTATAAGTTCACTGGCGGTGCATGTGACAGTGTAACACGCAGTCAGCATGTTATAGCCTA